TACCCCGACCTCATTTTTCCAGATTTGCCGAATCGAATATTGCGATATGTTCAGGTCATGAGCCATTTTTCGGCCACTGCGACGCGGGTTTCGATCATGTCGTCAATGGAGACGCCTTCGAACATGTCGTCTATGGAGACGACTTCGAACTTGTTGTTTATGGAGACGACTTCGAACATGTTGTCAATAAAGACGACTTCGAACTTTTTGTCTATGGAGACGACTTCGAACTTGTTGTCTATGGAGACGACTTCCAACTTGTCGTCTATGGAGACGACTTCGAACTTCTCGTCTATGGAGACGACTTCGAACTTGTTGTCTATGGAGACGAATTTGAACATGTCGTCTATGGAGACGACTTCGAACATGTCGTTTATGGAGAAGACTTCGAACTTGTCGTCTATGGAGACGGCTTAGAACTTGTTGTCTATGGAGACGACTTCGAACTTGTCGTCTATAGAGACGACTTTGAAATTGTTGTCCATGGAGACGACTTCGAACTTGTCGTCTATGGAGACGACTTCGAACATGTCGTCTATGGAGACGACTTCGAACTTGTCGTCTACAGAGACAACTTCCAACTTGTCGTCTATGGAGACGACTTCGAACATGTCGTCAATAAAGACGACTTCGAACTTGTTGTCTATGGAGACGACTTCGAGCATGTCGTCTATGGACGACTTCGAACTTGTCGTCTATGGAGACGACTTCGAACTTGTCGTATATGGAGATGACTTCGAACTTGTCGTCAATAAAGACGACTTCGAACCTGTCGTCTATGGAGAAGACATCGAACTTGTCGTCTATGGTGACGACTTCGAACTTGTGGTCCATGGAGAAGACTTCGAACTTGTCGTCTATGGAGACGACTTCGAACATGACGTCTATGGAGACGCCTTCGAACATGTCGTCTATGGAGACGACTTCGAACTTGTCGTCTATGGAGACGACTTCGAACTTGTCGTATATGGAGTCGACTTCGAACATGTCGTCAATAAAGACGACTTCGAACCTGTCGTCTATGGAGAAGACATCGAACTTGTCGTATATGGTGACGACTTCGAACTTGTCGTCCATGGAGAAGACTTCGAACTTGAGTCTAGGGAGACGACTTCGAACCTGTCGTCTATGGAGAAGACATCGAAATTGTCGTCTATGGTGACGACTTCGAATTTGTCGTCCATGGAGAAGACTTCGAACTAGCGTCTAGGGAGACGACTTCGAACTTGTCGTCTATGGAGGCGACTTCGAACTTGTCGTCTATAGAGACGACTTCAGACTCGTCTATAGAGACGACTTCAGACTCGTCTATATAGATGACTTCGAACTTGTTGTCTATGGAGACGACTTCGAACATGTCGTCTATGGAGACGTCTTCGAACTTGTCGTCTACGGAGACGACTTCGAACTTGTCGTCTATGGAGACGACTTCGAACTTGTCGTATATGGAGACGACTTCGAACATGTCGTCAATACAGACGACTTCGAACCTGTCGTCTATGGAGACGACTTCGAACTTGTCGTCCATGGAGAAGACTTCGAACTTGAGTCTAGGGAGACGACTTCGAACCTGTCGTCTATGGAGAAGACATCGAACTTGTCGTCTATGGTGACGACTTCGAATTTGTCGTCCATGGAGAAGACTTCGAACTTGCGTCTAGGGAGACGACTTCGATCTTAATGTCTATGGAGACGACTTCGAACTTGTAGTTAATGGAGACGACTTCGAACTTGTTGTCTATGGAGACGACTTAAAACTTGTCGTCTATGGAGACGACTTCGAACATGTCGTTTATGGAGACGACTTCAAACTTGTCGTCTATGGAGACTACTTCGAACTTGTTGTCTATGGAGAAGACTTCGAACTTGTCGTCTATGGAGACGACTTCGAACTTGTCGTCTATGGAGACGACTTCGAACTTGTTGTCTATGGAGACGGCTTCGAACTTGTCGTCTATGGAGACGACTTCGAACTTGTAGTTAATGGAGACGACTTCGAACTTGTTGTCTATGGAGACGAATTCGAACTTGTTGTCTATGGAGACGACTTCTTACTTGTTGTCTATGGAGACGACTTCGAACTTGTCGTCTATGGAGACGACTTCGAACTTGTTGTCTATGGAGACGACTTCGAACTTGTCGTCTATGGAGACGACTTCGAACTTGTTGTCTATGGAGACGGCTTCGAACTTGTCGTCTATGGAGACGAATTCGAACTTGTTGTCTATAGAGACGACTTCGAACTTGTTGTCTATGGAGACGACTTCGAACTTGTTGTCTATGGAGACGAATTCGAACTTGTTGTCTATAGAGACGACTTCGAACTTGTTGTCTATGCAGACGACTTCGAACTTGTCGTCTATGGAGACGACTTCGAACATGTCGTTTATGGAGACGAATTCAATATGTCGTCTATTGAGACGACTTCGAACTTGTCGTCTATGGAGACTACTTTGAATTTGTCGTTCATGGAGTCGACTTCGAATTTGTCGTTCATGGAGTCGACTTCGAACTTGTCGTCTTAAAGACGACTCCGAACTTGTTGTCTATGGAGACGACTCCGAACTTGTTGTCTATGGAGACGACTTCGAACTTCTTGTCTATGAAGACGACTTCGAACTTCTTGTCTATGGAGACGACTTCGAACTTGTTCTCTATGGAGACGACTTCGAACTTGTTGTCTATGGCGACGACTTCGAACTTGTCGTCTTTGGAGACGACTTCGAACATGTCGTTTATGGAGACGACTTCGAATATGTCGTCTATTGAGACGATTTCGAACTTGTCGTCAATGGAGACGACTTCGAACTTGTTGTCTATGTGGGCGACTTCGAACTTGTCGTCTATGGAGACGACTTCGAACAAGTCGTCTATGGAGATGACTTCGAATTTGTTGTCTATGGAGACGACTTCGAACTTGTCGTCTATGCAGACGACTTCGAACTTGTTGTTTATGGAGACGACTTCGAACATATCGTCAATAAAGACGACTTCGAACTTGTCGTCTATGGAGACGACTACGAACATGTCGTCTATAGAGACGACTTCGAACTTGTCGTCTATGGAGAATACTTCGAACTTGTCGTCTATGTAGACGACTTCGAACTTGTTGTCTATGGAGACGACTTCGAACTTGTCGTCTATGGAGACGACTTCGAACTTGTTGTCTATGGAGACGACTTCGAACTTGTTGTCTATGAAGACGACTTCGAACTTGTTGTCTATGGAGACGACTTCGAACTTCTTGTCTGTGGACACGACTTCGAACTTGTTCTCTATGGAGACGACTTCGAACTTGTTGTCTATGGCGACGACTTCGAACTTGTCGTCTCTGGAGACGACTTCGAACATGTCGTTTATGGAGACGACTTCGAATATGTCGTCTATTGAGACGATTTCGAACTTGTCGTCAATGGAGACGACTTCGAACTTGTTGTCTATGTGGGCGACTTCGAACTTGTCGTCTATGGAGACGACTTCGAACAAGTCGTCTATGGAGACAACTTCGAACTTGTCGTCTATGGAGATGACTTCGAACTTGTCGTCTATGGAGAAGGCTTCGAACTTGTCGTCTATAGAGACGACTTCAAACTCGTCTATTTAGACGACTTCGAAATTGTCGTCTATGGAGAAGACTTCGAACTTGTCGTCTATGGAGACGACTTCGAACTTGTTGTCTATGTAGACGACTTCTAACGAACATGTCGTTTATGGAGACGACTTTGAATATGCCGTCTATTGAGACGACTTCGAACTGGTCGTCTATGCAGACGACATCGAACTTGTCGTCTATGCAGACGACTTCCAACTTGTCGTCTATGGAGACGACTTCCAACTTGTCGTCTATGGAGACGACTTCCAACTTGTCGTCTATGGAGACGACTTCCAACTTGTCGTCTATGTAGACAACTTCAAACTCGTCTATGGAGACGACTTCGAACTTGTTGTCTATGGAGACGACATCGAACTTGTTGTCTACGGAGACGACTTCGAACTTGTCGTCTATGGAGACGACTTCGAAATTGTCGTCTATGGAGACGACTTCGAACTTGTCGTTTATATAGTCTATGGAGACGACTTCGAACTTGTCTTTTATATAAACGACTTCGAACTTGTTGTCTATGGAGACGACTTCGAACATGTCGTCTATGGAGAAGACTTCGAACTTGTCGTCTATGGAGAAGACTTCGAACTTGTCGTCTATGGAGACGACTTCGAACTTGTCGTTTATGGAGACGACTTCGAACTTGTCGTCTATGGAGGCGACTTCGAACTTGTTGTCTATGGAGACGACTTCGAACATGTCGTTTATGGAGGCGACTTCGAACTTGTCGTCTATGGAGACGACTTCGAACTTGTCCTCTATGTAGACAACTTCAAACTCGTCTATGGAGACGACTTCGAACATGTCTTCTATGGAGACGACTTCGAACTTGTCGTCTATGGAGAAAACTTCGAACTTGTCGTCTATGGAGACGACTTCGAACTTGTCGTCTATGGAGAAAGCTTCGAACTTGTCGTCTATGGAGACGACTTCGAACTTGTCGTCTATGGAGACGACTTCGAATTTGTCGTCTATGGAGTCGACTTCGAACTTGTCGTTTATGGAGACGATTTCGAACTTGTTGTCTATGAAGACGACTTCGAACATGTCGTCTACGGAGACGACTTCGAACTTGTCGTCTATGGAGACGACTTCGAACTTGTCGCCTATGGAGACGACTTCGAACTTGTCGTCTATGGAGACGACTTCGAACTTGTCCTCTACGGAGACGACTTCGAACTTGCCGTCTTTGGAGACGACTTCGAACTTGTTGTCTATGGAGACGACTTCGAACTTGTCTTCTATGGAGACGACTTCGAACATGTCGTTTATGGAGACGATTTCGAATATGTCGTCTATTGAGACGACTTCGAACTTGTCGTCTATGGAGAGGACTTCGAACTTGTCGTTTATGGAGACGATTTCGAACTTGTCGTCTATAGAGAAAACTTCGAACTTGTCGTCTATGGTGACGACTTCGAATTTGTCGTCCATGGAGAAGACTTCGAACTTGTTGTCTATGGAGACGACTTCGAACTTGTCCTCTATGTAGACAACTTCAAACTTGTCTATGGAGACGACTTCGAACATGTCTTATATGGAGACGACTTCGAACTTGTCGTCTATAGAGAAAACTTCGAACTTGTCGTCTATGGTGACGACTTCGAATTTGTCGTCCATGGAGAAGACTTCGAACTTGCGTCTAGGGAGACGACTTCGAACTTGTCGTCTATGGAGGCGACTTCGAACTTGTCGTCTATAGAGACGACTTCAGACTCGTCTATAGAGACGACTTCAGACTCGTCTATAGAGACGACTTCAGACTTGTCTATGTAGATGACTTCGAACTTGTTGTCTATTTAGACGACTTCGAACATGTCGTCTATGGAGACGACTTCGAATTTGTCGTCTACGGAGACGACTTCGAACTTGTCGTCTATGGAGACGACTTCGAACTTGTCGTATATGGAGACGACTTCGAACATGTCGTCAATACAGACGACTTCGAACCTGTCGTCTATGGAGACGACTTCGAACTTGTCGTCCATGGAGAAGACTTCGAACTTGAGTCTAGGGAGACGACTTCGAACCTGTCGTCTATGGAGAAGACATCGAACTTGTCGTCTATGGTGACGACTTCGAATTTGTCGTCCATGGAGAAGACTTCGAACTTGCGTCTAGGGAGACGACTTCGAACTTAATGTCTATGGAGACGAACATGTCGTTTATGGAGACGACTTTGAATATGCCGTCTATTGAGACGACTTCGAACTCGTCGTCTATGCAGACGACATCGAACTTGTCGTCTATGCAGACGACTTCCAACTTGTCGTCTATGGAGACGACTTCCAACTTGTCGTCTATGGAGACGACTTCCAACTTGTCGTCTATGTAGACAACTTCAAACTCGTCTATGGAGACGACTTCGAACTTGTTGTCTATGGAGACGACATCGAACTTGTTGTCTACGGAGACGACTTCGAACTTGTCGTCTATGGAGACGACTTCGAAATTGTCGTCTATGGAGACGACTTCGAACTTGTCGTTTATATAGACGACTTCGAAATTGTCGTCTATGGAGACGACTTCGAACTTGTCTTTTATATAAACGACTTCGAACTTGTTGTCTATGGAGACGACTTCGAACATGTCGTCTATGGAGAAGACTTCGAACTTGTCGTCTATGGAGACGACTTCGAACTTGTCGTTTATGGAGACGACTTCGAACTTGTCGTCTATGGAGGCGACTTCGAACTTGTTGTCTATGGAGACGACTTCGAACATGTCGTTTATGGAGGCGACTTCGAACTTGTCGTCTATGGAGACGACTTCGAACTTGTCCTCTATGTAGACAACTTCAAACTCGTCTATGGAGACGACTTCGAACATGTCTTCTATGGAGACGACTTCGAACTTGTCGTCTATGGAGAAAACTTCGAACTTGTCGTCTATGGAGACGACTTCGAACTTGTCGTCTATGGAGAAAGCTTCGAACTTGTCGTCTATGGAGACGACTTCGAACTTGTCGTCTATGGAGACGACTTCGAATTTGTCGTCTATGGAGTCGACTTCGAACTTGTCGTTTATGGAGACGATTTCGAACTTGTTGTCTATGAAGACGACTTCGAACATGTCGTCTACGGAGACGACTTCGAACTTGTCGTCTATGGAGACGACTTCGAACTTGTCGTCTATGGAGACGACTTCGAACTTGTCGTCTATGGAGACGACTTCGAACTTGTCCTCTACGGAGACGACTTCGAACTTGCCGTCTTTGGAGACGACTTCGAACTTGTTGACTATGGAGACGACTTCGAACTTGTCTTCTATGGAGACGACTTCGAACATGTCGTTTATGGAGACGATTTCGAATATGTCGTCTATTGAGACGACTTCGAACTTGTCGTCTATGGAGAGGACTTCGAACTTGTCGTTTATGGAGACGATTTCGAACTTGTCGTCTATAGAGAAAACTTCGAACTTGTCGTCTATGGTGACGACTTCGAATTTGTCGTCCATGGAGAAGACTTCGAACTTGTTGTCTATGGAGACGACTTCGAACTTGTCCTCTATGTAGACAACTTCAAACTTGTCTATGGAGACGACTTCGAACATGTCTTATATGGAGACGACTTCGAACTTGTCGTCTATAGAGAAAACTTCGAACTTGTCGTCTATGGTGACGACTTCGAATTTGTCGTCCATGGAGAAGACTTCGAACTTGCGTCTAGGGAGACGACTTCGAACTTGTCGTCTATGGAGGCGACTTCGAACTTGTCGTCTATAGAGACGACTTCAGACTCGTCTATAGAGACGACTTCAGACTCGTCTATAGAGACGACTTCAGACTTGTCTATGTAGATGACTTCGAACTTGTTGTCTATTTAGACGACTTCGAACATGTCGTCTATGGAGACGACTTCGAATTTGTCGTCTACGGAGACGACTTCGAACTTGTCGTCTATGGAGACGACTTCGAACTTGTCGTATATGGAGACGACTTCGAACATGTCGTCAATACAGACGACTTCGAACCTGTCGTCTATGGAGACGACTTCGAACTTGTCGTCCATGGAGAAGACTTCGAACTTGAGTCTAGGGAGACGACTTCGAACCTGTCGTCTATGGAGAAGACATCGAACTTGTCGTCTATGGTGACGACTTCGAATTTGTCGTCCATGGAGAAGACTTCGAACTTGCGTCTAGGGAGACGACTTCGAACTTAATGTCTATGGAGACGAACATGTCGTTTATGGAGACGACTTTGAATATGCCGTCTATTGAGACGACTTCGAACTCGTCGTCTATGCAGACGACATCGAACTTGTCGTCTATGCAGACGACTTCCAACTTGTCGTCTATGGAGACGACTTCCAACTTGTCGTCTATGGAGACGACTTCCAACTTGTCGTCTATGTAGACAACTTCAAACTCGTCTATGGAGACGACTTCGAACTTGTTGTCTATGGAGACGACATCGAACTTGTTGTCTACGGAGACGACTTCGAACTTGTCTTCTATGGAGACGACTTCGAACATGTCGTTTATGGAGACGATTTCGAATATGTCGTTTATGGAGACGACTTCGAACTTGTCGTCTATGGTTGTCTATGGAGACGACTTCGAACATGTCGTTTATGGAGACGACTTCGAACTTGTCGTCTATGGAGACGACTTCGAACATGTCGTTTATGGAGACGACTTCGAACTTGTCGTCTATTGAGACGGCTTCGAACTTGTCGTCTATGGAGAGGACTTCGAACTTGTCGTTTATGGAGACGATTTCGAACTTGTCGTATTGAAGACGACTTCGAACTTGTTGTCTATGGAGACGACTTCGAACTTGTCGTCTACGGAGGCGACTTCCAACTTGTCGTCTATGGCGTCGACTTCGAACTTGTCGTCTATGGAGACGACTTCGAACTTGTCCTCTATGTAGACAACTTCAAACTCGTCTATGGAGACAACTTCAAACTCGTCTATGGAGACGACTTCGAACTTGTCGTCTATGGAGAAAACTTCGAACTTGTCGTCTATGGAGACGACTTCGAACTTGTCGTCTATGGAGACGACTTCGAACTTGTCGTCTATTGAGACGGCTTCGAACTTGTCGTCTATGGAGAGGACTTCGAACTTGTCGTTTATGGAGACGATTTCGAACTTGTCGTATTGAAGACGACTTCGAACTTCCGTCTATGGAGACGACTTCGAACTTGTTGTCTATGGAGACGACTTCGAACATGTCGTTTATGGGGACGACTTCGAATATGTCGTCTATTAAGACGACTTCGAACTTGTCGTCTATGGAGACGACTTCGAACTTGTTGTCTATGGAGACGGCTTAGAACTTGCCGTCTATGGAGACGACTTCGAACTTGCCGTCTATGGAGACAACTTCGAACTTGTTGTCTATGGACATGACTTCGAACTTGTTGTCTACGGAGACGACTTCGAACTTGTCGTCTATGGAGACGACTTCGAAATTGTTGTTTACGGAGACGACTTCGAACATGTCCTGTATGGAGACGACTTCGAACTTGTAGTCTATGGAGACGACTTCGATCTTGTTGTCTATGCAGACGACTTCGAACTTGTCGTCTATGCAGACGACTTCGAACTTGTCGTCTATGGAGACGACTTCGAACATGTCGACGGCTTAGGACTTGTCGTCTATGGAGACGACTTCGGACTTGTTGTCTATGGAGATGACTTCGAACTTGTTGTCTACGGAGACGACTTCGAACATGTCGTGTATGGAGACGACTTCGAACTTGTCGTCTATGGAGACGACTTCGAACTTGTCGTCTATGGAGACGACTTCGAACTTGTCCTCTACGGAGACGACTTCGAACTTGCCGTCTTTGGAGACGACTTCGAACTTGTCTTCTATGGAGACGACTTCGAACATGTCGTTTATGGAGACGACTTCGAATATGTCGTCTATTGAGACGACTTCGAACTTGTCGTCTTGAAGACGACATCGAACTTGCGTCTATGCAGACGACTTCGAACTTGTCGTCTATGGAGACGACTTCGAACTTGTTGTCTATGGAGACGACTTCGAAATTGTTGTTTACGGAGACGACTTCGAACATGTCCTGTATGGAGACGACTTCGAACTTGTCGTCTATGGAGACGACTTCGAACTTGTCCTCTACGGAGACGACTTCGAACTTGCCGTCTTTGGAGACGACTTCGAACTTGTCTTCTATGGAGACGACTTCGAACATGTCGTTTATGGAGACGACTTCGAATATGTCGTCTATTGAGACGACTTCGAACTTGTCGTCTTGAAGACGACATCGAACTTGCGTCTATGCAGACGACTTCGAACTTGTTGTCTATGCAGACGACTTCGAACTTGTCGTCTATGCAGACGACTTCGAACTTGTCGTCTATGGAGACGACTACGAACATGTCGTCTATGGAGACGACTTCGAACTTGTCGTCTATGGAGACGACTTCAAACATGTCGTCAATGGAGACGACTTCGAACTTGTCGTCTATGTAGACGACTTCAAACTCGTGTATGGAGACGACCTCAAACTTGTCGTCTTGGAGACGACTTCGAACTTGTTCTATGGAGACGA